AAAAAGTGTCTCACACGGCTCCGGGGGGGTGAACAAAGGCCTCCTGTAGCGAATCGATGCGTTTTTGTAAGAAAAATATCCATATTCAAAACGTAATAATCACTTTAATGTAGCTTGCGCCAACAGTTGTACACGGAAGCAGCTCCGGGTGGATGACGTATGAGGTCAGCGTTGCGCATGCGCCGGTGAGTCTCGTGAAGTCCAGTCTCGTGACTGGACATAGTCATATACACCTAGGATGACTTGAGGGTGAGTAATTTATGGGCTTATATTCATTTTGGGGTGAACTAACCCTTTAAGACTCTTTCAAAGGGGATCATTTGTGAAGGAATTAACCCCTACACTGCCTAGTAAATAAAACCCAATCAAGGACGCGATCCCTTGGGATGAATCACAGACCCACAGGAGGAAGATGAAGACGAGGGCTAATTGAGCTCCGGAACCTTCCCACAGACCGACTTCTGCTTTCGCTCAGCCGTCCGGAGCAATCCAAGTGTTTAGACCTGGAGAAAGTCCAGCTCCAGCATGCAATTATGACTTTTTGCTGACTAAACTCTTGGACAGGAGCCTAACATCACATCATAAATCAAATCACAGGACACTGCGGTCAGTCGTGAGCCAAATCATCTCGTGCAGTTACATTAGCGTCATTATTAAATCAATGAGTTACGAACTGAATGAGAATTTAGACTGGAATGCTTAACCTAGATTCACATTAACTGAGCAAATATTATGAATAACTGGATTATTCTTGATTACTTCACAATTTGGATGTTATAAACCTCATAGTAACAAAATGGGTATCAAAATAAGTGTAAACTAACTAAAAAAGTACCAAAAGTACCATGGTATTATTTTCTGGATATGGTATTATGGCAATACCACGATTTTTTTGTATTTTGGACAAGTAACTATGGCAATACCATGTTTTTAGATATATATAATGGCAATATTATAGTATTTTGGACATACTATGGCAAATACCATGCTTTTTTTTTTTGACATATATAATGGCAATACTACAGCATTTTGGACATACTATGGCAAATACCAAGTTTTCTGGACGTGTACCATGGCGATACTATAGTATTTTTAACAAGGAACTATGGCAATACCATGTTTTTATACATGTACCATCACCATACTATAGTATTTCGGACACACTATGGCCAATACCATGTTTTTTTTTGGACATGTACCATGGCAATATTATAGTATTTCGGACATACTATGGCAAATACCATGCTTTGGCAATACTAAAGTATTTTGGACAAGTAACTATGGCAATACCATGGTTTTGGCATGGTATTCTTGGAGTACCATTTGCTATAGTACCTATCAATCAATATCATGGCACACATTGCTTAACCACGGTACTGTCACAGTAACCAACTCAGTACAGAATCAATCAATCACGAGGCGATGCGCAAGAAGCCAAACTAGAGAAACATTTCCAAACACTGCAAAAGACCAACAACCCTCGTCATGGGTGGTCTTACATGCTTTATAAACATGCATTCAGTGTCATGAACTCGAGTTGAAGCTCACGCCCGTCACTGACCTCTGCAGACACCCGTCTCAGGTATGCGCGCCGGTCCGGTTCCGTTGAGCGCCGCGCAGGTGAGTCCGGATCCGCAGTAGCCCAGAGTCCAGTCCGGCCCGCCGCACAGCTCGAGTTCCAGCCGAGAGCACCGCTCGCAGCAGCCGCACGGGTCACGGGCCAGAACCCGGGCCGAACCGCACCCGAGCGCGCCGACGAGCGGGCAGGAGCGCAGCGCGCACGGTACGCATTCACGAGCCCCGAGCGCTCGAGCGCAGAAGCCCAACACACCGAGAAGCCACAGCAAACTCTGGAGACACATTGTGACGCGCTTTGATGAAGTTCACAGAGTCTCAAACACGAACCCAAATAAATCCAAAACGAGACTCTTGAAATACAGTGTTCAACAAACTTCCCACAGACTTTCAGTTTCACGATCCTCGCTGGGAATGACACAGGTTTCCAGTGAGTGAAATGTGCTCGTAAAGCTGTTACAGTGAGGATGATGATGATGATGATGATGATGATGATGATGATTCTGTCCGTCACTGAATCACTGACACTCAAACTGAGTCGCAGACACGCGTTACAGAGAGAGAGACCTCAAAGCCACGCCCCCTGTCGATGACTGACGCGGAGCTCGTCCAATCACAAGCAGATGAATGTCACTTTATCAGTATATTATTGCTTTTCATGTTCTTTATCTGAACAGAAACACTGTTGCATTTAATTGCATTGCACTGTTTTATTTCTGCCCTTTTTCTGTATAGTTAATTTTGACCTTTTTTTTAATGAACTGAAATGTTAATCTTAACATTAAATTAAATTAAATTAAATTAAATTATATTAATTAAATTAAATTACTTAAATTAAATTAAATTAAATTAAGTTAAATTACATAAAATAAAATAAAATAAAATAAAATTAAATAAAATTAAATTACTTAATTTTTTAAAATCGGTGTTATAATCAGCGTTTCACATGAGGCACATGAACGATTCGCCTGCTAACGATCTGTTTTCTTTTCCTCTCCTCCATCAGAAGTTCAGCTCAGATTCTCTGAAAGGAACACTTGGACATTCACTCATGTGTTCACTCATTCATTCATTCATTCATTCATTCATGTAGGATCTGTCTGATCATGACAGGTTTTCAGGTCTTGTACTTGACACACACTGCTTTTTCTTGGCTCTGAAAATGCAACTTAACATTTTGACTTTTTCTTGCGCAGGGTCTTTTTAAAAACTTCCCAAAAAACGGATAACTTTTGAACTCTTTTGGGATTTTTTCCCCACCTTCTTACACCGGTTAAAAATGACTGGCCTTCAGAAACGTGCTTATAAATCTTTTATTTGCTTATTTTCTTTCAGTTAGCACAGGTTTTGTTTTTCTTTTTAGAAACTGGTTGATCATAGGTATCATTGAAGTCTCAGTTTTTTAGTGAACATTGCTAAAATTATCCACAAATAATGCCCTTTTCACTTAAAAACTGAGGTGCATAAGCTCAGATCAATGAGATAAGATCAGAAATACAGCAAAAGCAGTAATATTGTGAAATATTTTTATTATTTGAAATAACTGTTTTCTATGTGAATATCTGTTAAACTGTAATTTATTTCTGTGATCAAAACTGTATTTTCAGCATCATTACAGCTCAACAAACATTTATTATTATTATTATCAATATTTAAAACAGTTCAGTAATTTTTTTTCAGGATTCTTTGATGAATAGAAAGATCCAAAGAATCAAAGCTGTATTTTCAGCATCATTACAGCTCAACAAACATTTATTATTATTATTATCAATATTTAAAACAGTTCAGTAATTTTTTTTCAGGATTCTTTGATGAATAGAAAGATCCAAAAATCAGCATTTATCTGAAAAAAAAAAAAAAAAGCTTTTGTAACATTATACACTATATCATTCAAAGGCTTGGAGTCAGTATCTTTTTTTTTTTTTTTGGGAAAAAAATTATAGAAATTAATACTTTTATTTAGCAAGGATGCTTTAAATTGATCAAAAGTGATGATAAAGACATTTATAATGTTACAAAAGATTTCTATTTCAGATAAATGCTGTTCTTCTGAACTTTCTATTCAACAAAGAAATCTGAAAAAATTCTACTCAGCTGTTTTCAACATAATAATCAGAAATGTTTCTTGAGCAGCAAATCAGCATATTAGAATGATTTCTGAAGATCATGTGACACTGAAGACTGGAGTAATGACGCTGAAAATTCAGCTTTGAAGTCACAGCAATAAATTACATTTGAAAATATATTCAAATACAAATCAGTCACTTTAAATAATAAAACAATTTCACAATATTGATATTTTTGCTGTATTTTGGATCAAATAAATGCAGGCTTGGTGAGCAGAAGAGACTTCTTTCAAAAACATTAAAATGTACTTGAGTGACTCAAGTAAAGGTGGTATTCTCTATGGTGGTTAAACTGCTGCTGACGGTCTTTGTGTGTGTGTGTGTGTGTGTGTGTGTTTTAGGGGTCCGTTCAGTACACACACCACAACCTCTGACCTCTGCGCTGATGATGTTGAGGGTCAAGTTTCCATCTCTGTGTCAAAGGTCACAGGGTCAGAGTGCACAGGAGCCTGTTGTGGAGGAATAAAAGAGGACAAATGTCTTCCCGTGAGGTTTATTCAGCTCTCTGCTCTCTTCGACTTTTACTCATTTCAGTGCTGTTTACTCAGTCAATCATCAGTTTACTAAGATGCAGTGTTTCACCAGCTGGAGCAGAAAACAGACGAAAAGTCACAGAGCAGAAGCTCACAGAGACGGCTGGTCACGACTCGACGGGGTTCAGGAGAAAGAGCACGGCATCCAAACATATGTAACTTTTGAAGGAGATATAATTCTGTTGAATAGTGTAGAGTTTGAGTTCTGAATACTTGTAAATAAACAGAGTTTTCTAAATAAATCTGTGGTCATTAAGCTCGAAAATTACTTAAAGAAGACATACAACAGCGAAAGATGTTTTCTTCTATTTTGTGACATATATCCGAGTGAAACGAATTATACATAAATTATACATTAATTGTGTGTGTATGATTTTCATTTAAAATTTCATTTATTTTATACAAATTTTATTTAAGCTACAAAAATGAGAAATGTAGCTGAAATAAAATTAGTATAAAATAAATGACATTTATTTTATATTTATTTATATAAAGTATAAAATAAATAAAATTTAAAATGAACATTTTCTTTTTTTATTTCAGCTATTTCTCATTTTTTGTTACTAAGGTAAGTAAAACTAAATAAACTAAAACTACAACTTATTAAAAACTATATAGACAAATTATTAAAAAAGTAATAAAACAAACAATTAACAAAATTAAAATGAAAACAAATAGAAAATAAGACCTAATTTAACATATTAACAAAAATCATAATAGCATATCAATGATGTTGCAGTAAACAATTACATACAATATATAAAACAATCTATATATACAAACTATATACAATCATTATAGCTTGAGTGTTTGGTTTCTAAATAATCAGTTATCTGTGAAATAAATGGTCATTTTGCAGTTTAATGTCTTATTATTTGGGAGTATGATAATTTTTTTCCATTTCTGGATCATTCGCCACACACAAGACACAGAAGATCAAGTTGAGCACATTGCATTATGGGATACAATATTCCATGCAGTTGGCTCTGATTATTTACATTTATGCATTTAGCAGACGAAAGCAAAAGTCACTTATTATATGTTATATTGCACATTTTGTCAAATGCACGGGTCATCTTGTTATTTTATGCACATATTGTATCCATACTGCAAACATAGGCAGCTGTGTGCTATTGTGAACAAATCCAAATGCAATGCAAGCTACATTTAGCATGGTTTCTTTAGGTGAATGATTGTTATTTGGTCTCTGAATGAAAGCCATGCAGTGATGTGGTTTCTCATTGTCAAGCAGAGTTTTATTTGAAACATTCACCCATAAATCTCAGGCTTTTACCCCCAGTGCAGTGGCATGATGTGTGCCAGGAGATTGTGCAATCAGGAAAAACTCACGCAGAAATAACTTCAAATCATCCGCTCTCACACTGAGAAAAACAATCGGCGTCTTCCCACCGCGCTTTAAACACATCAAAGGCCATTTCTCACCAATGCAGAGATCATAAACAAGCTTTCTTTAGTGTAAGTTCATGCATTTCGTAGGCTGAAGGTGAACGGCAGATTATGTGACAAACTCAGTCAGCAGCTGAAGAATGCAGAGGTCAGAGAGTTCAAAGATACTGATAGTGATCATCATTATAACTGTGATTTCTCGTGTAAATTCTCTCTCTGAACGCTAAACATTCACACAGCAAACATCCCATCAATCACTGCTCTTCATGGGAAGTGAGTGCTGTTGTTTTCCTGTCTCCGCCGTGACTCTGAGCCGCTTCACGTCGCTGTGTGGAAGTCAAACTGTTGCTGGTGTTTTTATAAACACACTGCGGGACGTCACACCTCAATCACTGGCATCGCAGCTCAGAGAGCTTTGTTCTGCATGTTGGGACTCAAAAACGATGATGCATCAGAGCACTTGGCTGGTTTTTAAGTTGCGAAACTGGAAAAAGATGTGCTGGCGTTCAATTCTGTCTGAATGAAATCAAATAAACTTGCATTGCATGCAAAACAAAAAAATCTTTATCTTTATCTTGCTTCCTAATCTATTTGTCTAATAAATCTGGCATTGCATATTAAGAAAATTTGCTCTTCTTTTGTAAGTCGCTTTGGATAAAATGCATGTAAATGCATTTATTAATCAGCATTCTGTTCAATAATTACTAGTAGTTTAGCTCTCACTGATGTTGATCAGTTCTAGATCATTATTTCTGTGATTCTCCAACAGTGTAAAGTGAAAACTGACTCAACTGACTTATAGTGAATGATTCATAAGTGGAGCTGTTATTAAGAAAATAGTTCACTAATGGTTATGTAAATGTTAGGACTAATCATTCTTAAAATAATGTTTATGGGATGTTCTTATAACATTATTAATATTTGATATTTATTTGTACGTTCTCAGAACTATGTTGAATAGCGTTTTTCAGTAAAATCATTAGAACGTTCTCATAACGTTTTCAAAATAATAGAACGTTCGTATAACCAAGAAGAAACGTTCTTAATGCATTAAAAAAATTTGAATGCTTAAAAAACATTCAGAAAGATATGTTTTCATGACGGTTTCAAAATGATAAAATGTTTCTCTAACGTTTGCATAACCAAGAAAAAAATTTTCTTTAAATATTAAAAAATGGGTGTTTTAAGAACATTCTCATAATGTTTCCATGGAATCTTCCTCTAACATTTGCATTACCAATAAAAAACATTCTTTAAACATAAAAAAGGTGTTTTAGACGTTAAGAGAACGCTGAAATGTAACATTCTTATAACATTTTCAAAATGATAGAATTAAATGTTCCTCTAACTTTTGTATAATCAAGAAGAAATGTTCTTAATACATTAAAAATGGGACGTTTTGAACGTTTTAAAAACTTTAAGAAATAACCTTTTTGTAACGTTTTCAAAATGATCAAATGGAATGTTCTCCTAACGTTCACAATAAACAAAACAAAAAAAAC